GCTGAGTCAAGGAAAGGCTGACGGACAAAAGAAACCGCCAATCAGAACGAGGAGGCGGGACAACAGGCCGGAGATCACACCCCTTACTGGCAACGCACAGACGGTACACTCAAAATACACACACAGAGAAACACACACACACACACACAGAGGACAAAGAGACGAGCGGTAAAGTGGAAGTTTCTGTTTCTTTCTGCAGAAGGCGAAGAAGGAGGAGGGGGCGCAAAGTGGAGGAGAGGAGGAGCCAGAGGAAGAAAGCCACACCCCTCTACCACCTCCCATGCAGATCATCAAAGACCCAAACAACCCCGAGGTAAGCAAAGAGGAAGGGGCGTGTCCAGGTGGAGATCGCTGGAGCGCCATTCGTCGGATTCCATAGAAGTCTATGATGAAATGTCCCTACTTCTCAGCTCACATTCTCTCTCTCTCTCTCTCTCTCTCTCTCTCTCTCTCTCTCTCTCTCTAGGCTCTGGATTCAGATCAGGGCTCCAACGAGTCGGACACCGAGCAGAGAAATAAAGCTCTAAGAGGACGCATGTAAGATCACAAACTAAAAAAAACTAAAAACAACAATGAATGTGTCGACATGTAAAATAAAACTTGTGTTCTGTTTTTAAAGGTTTGTTGTTAACGAGATGGTCCAATCAGAGAAGGACTACGTGAAGGACCTGGCTGTGATTGTGGAGGTGAGTAGAGAGAAGCTGCTGAATCATGTTAAATGAGATTCAGTGGATCTATGTTATATAAATATGGACGCTCTGTGTGTCTGTCAGGGCTTCATGTCCAGGCTGGAGGTCAGAGGGATCCCCGAGGACATGAGGGGGAAAGACAAAATCGTCTTCGGCAACATCCAGCAGATCTACGACTGGCACAGAGAGTGAGTCACACACACACACACACACACACACACACACACACACACACACACACACACACACACACACACACACACACACACACACACACACACACATTAATGACCACTAACTCATTAAAAATAACTATATGTCTATAAACCTCTCTATTTCAGCCCTGCTCAGAACAGGCTGTTTCTGTGTCTGTACCTTTAAATATGTAAATGAGCTGTGTCTGACCACGCCCCCTCTCTGGAAGGGCTTGGGTGTACTCGGGCTTTCTCGCTCCATGTCCTATTGTTTACAGTGAGAAGGCAGACTCAGAGGGCAGAACAAACACCTAGCTGTGGGAGTGTCGCCCACCTGGGGGAGGGGCTACTGCCCTTTGTGATGTCATGAAGGGAAAATCTCCAAACAGCCTGTTTGAGCACACATTTTCTGAAAAGTGGAGCAGGCAGAAGACGGAGAGGATGGACTTTTCTCATCATTGGAGGGTTTGTAGACAGACTGTCTACAAACACACTTCTTTCTGTCAGACTAAAGGTGTGTGTGTGTGTGTGTGTATGTGTGTGTGTGTGTGTGTGTGTGTTTTCTTCAGTTTCTTCCTGGTGGAGTTGGATCGTTGTGTTCAGAATCACGACCTGCTGGCTGACCTTTTCATCCGACATGTGAGTTTCTCTCATATTCATTAATAAGCAGTTATCGATTAACCAGCCTGAGACTAATGTGTGTGTGTGTGTGTGTGTGTGTGTGTGTGTGCTGCAGGAGCGTCGTCTCCACATGTACATTGTTTACTGTCAGAACAAGCCGAGGTCAGAGTTCATCGTCATCGAGTACGAGACCTTCTTCGAGGTAACGCATCACTTCCTGTTACATCACCACACCAAGTCTCAACCTGTTTCAGATACAAAGATACAAAACGTGGATTCATCCGCCACAGAAAATAGTCCCCAACAAATGCAACAAAACAAACTGACCGTCTGTCTGTCTGCCTGTCTGTCTCTCTACCTGTCTGTCTGCAGGAGATCCAGCATGAGATCAGCTGCAGGATGTCGATCAGTGATTACCTGATCAAACCCATCCAGAGAATCACAAAGTACCAGCTGCTGCTCAAGGTCTCTATTTATTTAGACTTTTCATTTCTCTTCCTGTAAATCATTTCTGTCCGGTTTAACATCTTCCCCTTCTCTCCTGTTCATCTCAGGATTTCCTCAAGTACACGTCTAAAGCAGGACTGGACTGTGAGGAGATCGAGGTGAGTCTCTCTGTGACGAGCTGCGGTCAACTGCAGCCTCATGACCTTCACATATCTCAAACATCGATCTGAAACCTGACCCTGAAGAAACAGAGGAACTGAGAGTCAACCGGGCAATCATGGCGTCTTCCTCCTTTAGATCGTCTCTCGTTTGAAACAATCTGTTTAAAATAAAAAGTAGTTTCATGGTGCTGTTGAGTTCTTACAGGGTGGTGTTCCTCATGCTGCCTCAGGGGGGCAGCAGAGAGGGACTTCACTAAACTTCACACACTTAAATGTATAAATCAAGTCTATCCTCTGAAAATAACTCTGTGAGTCATGACTGTCTACAATGGGTGTAACACCCGAGTCCCACTGTCTGTGATGTTTTCAGAGTTTTCAGAGTCCTATCTTCACTTTGTTTACATCGCCAGGACGGCCGGCTGACTCCTCCCCTCGTGTATAAAAGTTGTTTAATTGAGGGACTAGAGAAAAGAAGAATAACATACTGTACTCACTGCTTAACTGTGTTTCTAGATCACGCTCATTTCAGGTCAATTTACATGCAGTGTGAAGATACCAGCAGAATAAAGATCGCTAGCATTAGCATGCTAACACAACAATGCAGCGTGAGTTGTTTTGGTTTCATGCTGGTGCTCAAGGGCGACATCTGCTGGATCAAAACATCACATATAAAGCCTTTAAGCTTTATTTCATCTTACATATTGTTGTACATCATGTTTAAATGTTTGACTGCGTTTGTATTTTATCTGTATTTATTCATCACATTCTTGTTTTGTGTACAGAAAGCAGTCGACCTGATGTCTTTGGTGCCGAAGCGCTGCAACGACATGATGAACCTGGGGCGCCTGCAGGGATATGAGGTACACCTGCACGTTTACCTGTCTGAGGCCACACCTGTATACTGCTGCTCATTAACCCTTTGACTTGCATTGTAACCACGCCGTTGACCTTTTTTCCGCCGCCATATTGCTGTATTTCAAACTCTGAAAACCTATCTTTGTCTGTTTATCCTCGTTCACCTCATTGAATAGTGTATGTAACACAGATTATGTCCAATGGGTGGCGCTGCTGTACATAATTATCATCGTCTTAAAACTGTGGAAAATACTGGGAGTGATTCAGCTCCTCAGAAACCTCACAGAATAAGAGCAAATGTTCTGGTAAAATCTATGTTTTCACACATCATTTATAAACCCTCTAACAATCATATTTTAGTTGAAGGAAAAACATTTGACAATAAAATATATATCTACGACTCCTCACAAAACATGGTCGACCGCTCGGTTGAGTCTACACAAACGGCCTGGCTCAAGTCACTCATTTCTTATTTTGTTCATGTTTTCTAAACATTACTACTCATTCAGTTTGTTAAATCAATTATTCTGGGTTATTTTAATAAGTTCTTCTCTCTGTGATGTTTATATTTGAAGAAACTAAACATTTTGATGCAGAAATGAAAGAAATCCATTCATGCCCAAAGTAACCCTGAACACCTGCAGATCTGCTTCCTGATTGGGTAATCTGAAAAATATAATCTGAAATGTTCTAAATGAAGAGGCAGGAACACAACTTTTGAAAATGGATTTCTTAGTGTGGAAGTCGAAGAGTTAAAGACCTCAGAGCTTCACATCAAATGTGTTTTAAAGCCTCGCTGCTGCATTTTTAAATGTTCTAATGAACTCACATGTAGTCAGAGGTCACGACCTCAGAGGGTCTCACCTGTGTGAGGTCACGACCTCAGAGGGTCTCACCTGTGTGTCGTTCTCTGGCTGCTTCAGGGGAAGTTGACGTCTCAGGGGAAGCTGCTGCAGCAGGAGACGTTCTGCGTTTGGGAGCAGGACGGCGGCGTTCTGTCCCGGAGCAAAGAGCGACGAGTCTTCCTGTTCGAGCAGATCGTCATCTTCAGCGAGCTGCTGCGCAAAGGATCCAACAACCCGGGATACCAGTTCAAGAACAGCATCAAGGTTAGACTGGTCCAAACTGGTTTAGAGACAGAGATCAAGGTTAGACTGGTCCAAACTGGTTTAGAGACAGGATCAGAGTTAGACTGGTCCAAACTGGTTTAGAGACAGAGATCAGAGTTAGACTGGTCCAAACTGGTTTAGAGACAGAGATCAAGGTTAGACTGGTCCAAACTGGTTTAGAGACAGGGATCAGAGTTAGACTGGTCCAAACTGGTTTGAGACAGAGATCAGAGTTAGACTGGTCCAAACTGGTTTAGAGACAGGGATCAAGGTTAGACTGGTCCAAACTGGTTTAGAGACAGAGATCAGAGTTAGACTGGTCCAAACTGGTTTAGAGACAGGGATCAGAGTTAGACTGGTCCAAACTGGTTTAGAGACAGAGATCAAGGTTAGACTGGTCCAAACTGGTTTAGAGACAGGGATCAGAGTTAGACTGGTCCAAACTGGTTTAGAGACAGGGATCAGAGTTAGACTGGTCCAAACTGGTTTAGAGACAGAGATCAAGGTTAGACTGGTCCAAACTGGTTTAGAGACAGGGATCAGAGTTAGACTGGTCCAAACTGGTTTAGAGACAGAGATCAGACTGGTTTATAATGGTGTTAATGTATGTGTGTGTGGGATCAGGTGAGTTACCTGGCGATGCAGGACAGTGTAGACGGGGACCCCTGTAAGTTCGTGTTGTGGTCTCGCGGCTCGGCCGAGCGCTTCACGCTGCAGGCGTCCTCCACCAGCATCAAGATGACCTGGACGGAGACCATCGCCACGCTGCTGGAAGCCCAGAACAACTTCCTGTCAGGTGAGAAACTTCAACACCTTCAGAGACTGAAACACAACCTGCACATGGTCGTCATCTTAAACTCCCTCTGTGTCTGCAGCTCTTCAGTCTCCCATCGAGTACCAGAGGAAAGAGGGCGGGATCACAGTGACCCGCCCTCTGTCGTCAGGGCGACCGCCGTCAGCTCCTCCCACGCCAAATGGTCACGCCACTCAGCCTCAGCACGACAGCGAGCAGGAAGAGGTTTGAAGATCCGTTGTTTTGTGAGGTCAGGTTGTTTTCTGGTTTGCGTCTCTGATCTTCTTCGTCTCCTCAGGAGCTCGTGCTGGTGCTGCAGGACTTCGTCGCGGTGCGGGAGGACGAGATTTCGGTGTTTCGAGGAGAGAAGGTTCAGATCCTGGCGTCCAACCAGCAGGGTCAGAGTCTCGTGTACCGACCGGCGAACAGCGACTCGCCGGCCGCCGAGGGCTGGGTGTCACGCAGCGTGCTCAACATACACTGACACACACAAACACACAACTACACACACTGGCAGCAGGGTCAGAGTCTGGTTTACGACCACTACACACAATGACTCTAAAACGCCACGCCAACAGGGCCAAAAGGCATGCTGGGAAATGTGTTCATGTAAAAGTTGGAGCCTTCAGATGGCGATGGAAACTCATCCAAAAGCTAACGGACACGACTTTAAAAGGTACTCATCGGATTCTCACAAGTTTGATGACATCACGATATTTCCTGTAGTGCCGCCATCAGGACAAACCGTCCAATGAAACGACGGCGGTAGAAATAACTGCTGGATTTCAAAAGGTCAAAAGATCAGAAGTACGAGAGGGAAAAGTTGATTGGCTAATTTAGGGCTCATAACTGTTTCCTGACAGTCTTCAGGCCCTGTTTACTAATCACACACACACACACACACACACACACACACACACACACACACACACACACACACACACACACACACACACACACACACACACACACACACACACACACACACACACACACACACACACACACACACAGCAGGTACTGTTAGTCTCCTCCCTCCAGGTGCTTCAACATTCAGCCAAAACACTCCTCCGCCCTCGCCTCGTCCTAGCAGACGGCGCCCTGAGGTCGGCCTACAGTTTACTGCCCCGAGCAAACCGATCACACTCTGATGACATCACAAACTGTTTCCTGTGAGTCAGCGGGAGCGAGATTACATCACCACATCATCGTCATCATCACGACCATCATCAACGGGCTGAAACTCCAGGACGCAACAAGAGACACGATAAAAAAAAAAAAAACCTCCTGGAAGAGAAGAGGTGCAAGGACCCGTCAGCCAATCAGAACTCTGCGTGTCATCCTGTTAATAGTGTGTATAAAGAGACTGAGGACAGACACACACACACACACACACACACACACACACACACACACACACACACACACACACACTGATGAAGATGAATTATGATGAATATGATAATTAAGAGTAATAGAATCTGTTTTTCACCTCAATAGAAAAAAAGAGAGAAACTGTTTGTCATGTTAACGTTTGTTTGTGTGTGCGTCAGAGAGAGAGCGTGTGTGTGTGTGTGTGTGCGTCAGAGAGAGAGCGTGTGTGTGTGTGTGTGTGTGTGTGCGTCAGAGAGAGAGCGTGTGTGTGTGTGTGTGTGTGTGTGTGTGTGTGTGTGCGTCAGAGAGAGAGCGCTTGTATGTGTGTGTGAGTGAGTGTGTGTGTTAGTGATGCCGTCCTACCTGTGTGTGTGTGTGTGTGTGTGTGTGTGTGTGTGTGTGTGTGTTTTTTCCACGGACAGTTAGGTGGTGTCCCGGTGTAGCGTTGCCATGACGACTCGTGTTTGCGGTGACACCCTGAATTTTTTGTCTTTTTAGCGAACCAGAGCTGCCGCCGCCCCCCTTTCCCCCCCTTCTCCATCACAACCACTGTTACCATAGCAACTGACGGCGGCCCCATCATGGCGGCGGCGCCCCCCTTTCGTGCAGCTCTGGTTAGTTTGGATATTCAGAATATGCATTTTTCCTGTTTCTGTAAATAGACCAGACCAACAACTGCTACTCCAACAAGTCCGGACACTGAAGCTGTCTGTCTCTCTGTCCACCCGTCTGTCTGTCTGACAGGTCGACAGCAGCACCTCCACCTACTGTGACCGTCTGTTTCTACCACACCTGAACTCTCTACCTGTCTCTCTCTCTCTGTCTGTCTCTCTCTCTCTCTCTCTCTCTCTCTCTCTCTCTCTGTCTCTCTCTGTCTCTCTCTCTCTCTCTCTCTCTCTCTCTCTCTGTCTCTCTCTCTCTCTGGTGCCATTCTCAGACAACACCCCGGTCCTTAAGGAGCTACGCAGCCTGTCAGTGCACTGCAGAGGGGTTAACGTTTAGGGCCCTATGAAGGGTGCAGGGAGAGACTGTGCAAAGGTTGATGCCGCTTTCATGTCATGCAGGAGTGACTGTAACTTTCAAAATCTCAAAAATGAAAAGTGTTAGCGTACAAATACTCCAACCTGGAGCAACATTTAACTCCTCATCGTCGACCTTCAATTCAAACTTAAAGAAAACGTGCTTTACTGTCTCTGCACAGTAGTTTCCACTCTCATACAACAACAAACTGTGCAGCCTGTAAGTCCACAGAACATGAACACGGCATCCGTCAGGTGTGAGAAACTGTTTTTTTAAAGAGGATGCTACCTTGTTCCCCTGTGCAGGAATGGAAAATTATGTTGTCGTCAACACGTCAATGTTGTGTTTGGGAATGCTTAAAGAGAGTAGAAAAATAAAGAAAGTAACGTCTATGGGGTCCAATATTTAAAAAAAAAAAACATTATTAATGTCACAACGTGTAAACTCGGAGTGCACCAGGAGAGGGTCGTCGTGACAACAGAAGTCTAAACTTTGATACGAGTAGAAATCGAGTAGAAATCAAACAACGTCGATACCCGTTTGATACCGCGGCATCATGACGAGAGAAGAACGCCGAGTCGTTTCTTGTTTTCAACCACCAACATGGCAGGCAGACTCCTGCACACAGCGAGGGCAGCCACAGTGTGCAGGAGTCCGTGTTCATTCAGGTGGATCCTTTCCTCTTCTCAACACCTGTCCAATTACAAAGATGGGTTTTTTTAAGCGTTGTTACTTTTTGATTCCATCGATCGTTAAAATAGAGATCGTATCGTTTGAAACATGTGGTATCGAGAAGTTTCAGAGTCTCCAACATTTGACATCTTCAGGATGGATTGTTGTGCGCTACAAAAGGAGCACGATGGGGATAGTGCCCTAAACCGAAGGAGGCATGGATGCATTATGAAGAGTTTAAGGAGGAATTAAGAGCACTATTTATGGCTTAGGATGGAAGGTAGTGCACTATAAAGGGTATAGGGTGCAACATATTACACAAAGGAAGAGTAAAGAGTAAAATGGAACACTATTTAAAGTCAGACATAGTGCACTACAGAGGGTTTAAGAAGGCGGGTAGTGCCCTTTGCAGGGTGTAAGGTGTAAAATAGCACACTATGGAGGGTGTAATGTTAGAGGTAGTGCACTATGAAGGGAGTAGCTCAGAAAGCAATGCACTATAAAAGATTTACGGTGGGAAGTAGTGCACTTTGGCATGTTCAGAAGGAAAGTAGTGCACTACAGAGGGCATAGGGTGCTGTTTGAGATCTAGCCTTGTTGCCGTTTGGCAAACCCAACTAACCAATCAAACAGTGTTATTTGTACAGAACTAACAGCTGCTAACTGACTGCTAACAGCTCTCTGTCGTTGTTTGTAATAAACTTCATTTTTCATCCAAAACTATCTCAGCATGTTTTTTTATTCCTGTGTGGACCAAGTCTGGTTGTGAGGGTCCGCTGAACATATGTACCGATTTCAAGCAATGTCCCGAGTCCTCACAGATATCTTTAAAACACCAACATGTCCCGGTTAAGAACAGTCCCTGTCCCGGTTTTCACCAACCAAAACAACACACCGTGCAACACTGTCTGCAAATATGTCAATGTCGTTACCGAGGCTGATGCTGTTCTAACCAACAGAGACATCACTGATGCACCGTGAGGTCAAAGGTCAACACTGATGAATGTGTCACTCAATCTCAGGTTTGCAGCTGTTGTTGTAAAGAGTCCATTAGTATGAACTTATCTATTCATACACATTCATACACTGCCGACGAAGCAGCGGGAGCAACTTGGGGTTAACTTGGGTTTTAGTGGCTGCAGGAGCTGGGGATCAAACCCCCAACCGACTCTACCACTGGGCCACAGCTTCCCCATGTGGGTTTAAGGTCAAAATGTACCGTAATTTTGGAGGTTTGAAAATAAGGTCACCCTCCGTCCGGGGTTTTGATTCATTAATTAATCTTTACATTATCTGCTCTTTGTTTCCTGTTTCGAGTGGTTGCACACACACACACACACACACACACACACACACACACACACACACACACACACACACACACACACACACACACACACACACACACACACACACACACACACACACACACACACACACACACACACACACACGATCTGTTCGTCATCGTTTTTGTGTCTTTTCTGTAGAACACAAAGATTTGTTGTCGTGTCATAAATAAAAAAGCTGACGTGTTGGTGAACTCTGCTCTCCGTGTTCACGCCTGATAAGAACAGCTGTAAACTGATTTAACCAATTAAAGATAAAGACAGACGAGTCTGAAGCACACACACACACACACACACACACACACACACACACACACACACACACACACACACACACACACACACACACACACACACACACACACACACACACACACACACACACACACACACACACACACACACACACACACACACACACTAAAGGTAGGAGATAAATGATGGGTAGGAAGCTGGACACATTAGGTGTTAATCAAACCGTCTGTTGGGGAAACAGTGGAGGATTATCTCAGTTTGAATGATGATAAGCTGATGTTTGTCCCAACAGTTATCGTCTCTTCACAGATAGTGAAGAGACTTCTCTGATTAGATTTGTGTCAAAGGATCCTTTCAGCAACACATTTCAACATGTTGAACTTTAAATTCAGAGCGCAGACAGACGATAAATGAACGCAGAAAACATCGAGGTTTAAACTCAAACTGAGGCGTCATGAAGTGGAGATTTTTAAAGAAACAGAGATACTTCAGGGATCAGTTAGAGCTGCTGACGAGCGTTTATCCCTTCAGCTGTTATCTGGTCGACGTTGGCCCACTTACAGCTGATCTCTGTGATCATGAGAAGAGATCAGAGGTCCGCAGTCTGTCCCACCACACGCTCCTTTTCACTCCAAAGACGAGTAAAGTCCACTCAAGTTATATGATCCAAAGACTTTCACTGCTTCAACTTTATGTTTGTGACTCGTGAAGATCAACACGTAGAGCGACAGAGACTACTTAAGACCGGCTGCTGTGGGTGTGTGTTCAGTGTGTGTTCAGTGTGTGTTCAGTGTGTGTTCAGTGTGTGGCTCTGAGAGAACCATGTCGTCGTTGTTTCAGGTCTTTGGTAAAAACGGATCTGAAACTCCAGAGCCGGTGAAAGCTCAGGTGGAAGGTGAGGTTCACTTTGATTTACAGTTTTTAATTATTGATCAATCTGCCGGTTTTAAAGTTTGAATGGTGTGTTTATTTATTGATTTTGGATCAGATGCACTGCAAACTTTTCCAGAATGTTTCAACAGTTTGTTCATAACACTCAAAGAAATTAAAGATAAACAGGTTTGTGTTTTTAACCGTCCAGCGCCCTGCCTCTGTCACGCATCTCGCTCTATTTCGAGATTCTTCATAGGGTGGAAAACTCTTGAAAACACCTGATGGTAAAGCTCTAACAATACATTTTAATAAGAATTAATTCATCATTTCTTCTTTCCTAAATATCGTCCGACAGGTCGTTATGTTTATTGTGATTTATTCAAATAGATTTATTGCCCCCCTGAACTGACAGAGGACTGACTCCCCTCGAGAGCCTGGGGCTTCACCTCACCCCCCACCTGCCAGGAAGAACCCTTTGGAGTTACAGAGCCTCGTGAAGTTCCACCCGGCTTTAGCAAAGTTAGTTATTTATGCAAATGTGAAGAGAAGCCTGAGGTGCAGCTTGATGATCGTTGACTCGGACCTACTGCCTGTTTTATCTTTTATTATGCACAACAGATCACCGCCACATTGCAATAACACCACCACACTGCCAACTGTAAGATATTTTGAATGTGTAAAATATTTTGTAACCTTCTCAGTTACTGTGCCGAAAAAAATCAGAAAATAATCAGCAGCTTTTTATGTAACTCTAACCGAGTGTTAATAAAGCTGAAGCTCTTCATGAACACCTCCGAATAATGACGATGATGACGATAGTAACGATGGTTTTGATGCTGAATGGAACTCTAAAGAACAGCTGTAGCACCTGCCTCTGGTCACTTCCTGTCAGCACCTGTGCTCTGTCTCTGATCACTTCCTGTCAGCACCTGTGCTCCGTCTCTGGTCACTTCCTGTCAGCACCTGTGCTCTGTCTCTGGTCACTTCCTGTCAGCACCTGTGCTCTTCCTTTGGTCACTTCCTGTCAGCACCTGTGCGCTTCCTTTGGTCACTTCCTGTCGGCACCTGTGCGCTTCCTTTGGTCATTCCCTGCAGGAACAGATGGCTGACGTCACTCAGGCTTCGTCCATTCATATTTACAGTCCATCATTTGACCTTTAACCTGCAGGCTCCATCCCATCATGGCTGCAGGGCACTCTGCTGAGGAACGGGCCCGGGCTGTTCTCTGTGGGAAACTCTGAGTATAACCACTGGTTTGACGGCATGTCACTTATCCACAGCTTCACCTTCATTAACGGTGAGAGACGTCACCATGACAACAGTATAATTCACAAAACTATCAAAGTCACTGTCTCTGTTTAAAGTTAAAGTCTGATGTGGTTTCAGGTGAGGTGACTTACAGAAGTAAGTTTCTGAAGAGCAACACGTACAAGAGGAACGTGACGGCAGACAGGATTGTCGTCTCCGAGTTTGGAACGATGATCTACCCAGATCCCTGCAAGAACATATTTTCCAGGTACAGTCCCCCCAGAGCGTGGAGAGATCAGATTCAGTCTGAGAAGGACAAGCTGAGCTGAATTAAGACCATCAACGAAGACACCAAGAGAAGCAAAGGAGTCAATCTAGGAAAACTTACAGTCCATCAAGGGGGTGAAGAGATGGTTTGAGTCCATCAAGGGGGTGAAGAGATGGTTTGAGTCCATCAAGGGGGTGAAGAGATGGTTTGAGTCCATCAAGGGGGTGAAGAGATGGTTTGAGTCCATCAAGGCAGTGAAGAGATGGTTTGAGTCCATCAAGGCAGTGAAGAGATGATTTGAGTCCATCAAGGGGGTGAAGAGATGGTTTGAGTCCATCAAGGGATGGTTTGAGTCCATCAAGGGGGTGAAGAGATGGTTTGAGTCCATCAAGGGGGTGAAGAGATGGTTTTAGTCCATCAAGGGGGTGAAGAGATGGTTTGAGTCCATCAAGGGGGTGAAGAGATGGTTTGAGTCCATCAAGGATGGTTTGAGTCCATCAAGGGGGTGAAGAGATGGTTTGAGTCCATCAAGGGGGTGAAGAGATGGTTTTAGTCCATCAAGGAGGTGAAGAGATGGTTTGAGTCCATCAAGGGGGTGAAGAGATGGTTTTAGTCCATCAAGGAGGTGAAGAGATGGTTTGAGTCCATCAAGGGGGTGAAGAGATGGTTTTAGTCCATCAAGGAGGTGAAGAGATGGTTTGAGTCCATCAAGGGGGGTGAAGAGATGGTTTTAGTCCATCAAGGGGGTGAAGAGATGGTTTTAGTCCATCAAGGAGGTGAAGAGATGGTTTGAGTCCATCAAGGAGGTGAAGAGATGGTTTTAGTCCATCAAGGGGGTGAAGAGATGGTTTGAGTCCATCAAGGAGGTGAAGAGATGGTTTTAGTCCATCAAGGGGGTGAAGAGATGGTTTGAGTCCATCAAGGCGGTGAAGAGATGGTTTTAGTCCATCAAGGGGGTGAAGAGATGGTTTGAGTCCATCAAGGCGGTGAAGAGATGGTTTTAGTCCATCAAGGGGGTGAAGAGATGGTTTGAGTCCATCAAGGGGGGTGAAGAGATGGTTTTAGTCCATCAAGGGGGTGAAGAGATGGTTTGAGTCCATCAAGGGGGTGAAGAGATGGTTTTAGTCCATCAAGGGGGTGAAGAGATGGTTTGAGTCCATCAAGGGGGGTGAAGAGATGGTTTTAGTCCATCAAGGGGGTGAAGAGATGGTTTGAGTCCATCAAGGGGGTGAAGAGATGGTTTTAGTCCATCAAGGGGGTGAAGAGATGGTTTGAGTCCATCAAGGGGGTGAAGAGATGGTTTTAGTCCATCAAGGGGGTGAAGAGATGGTTTGAGTCCATCAAGGGGGTGAAGAGGTGGTTTGAGTCCATCAAGGGGGTGAAGAGATGGTTTGAGTCCATCAAGGAGGTGAAGAGATGGTTTTAGTCCATCAAGGGGGTGAAGAGATGGTTTGAGTCCATCAAGGGGGTGAAGAGATGGTTTTAGTCCATCAAGGGGGTGAAGAGATGGTTTGAGTCCATCAAGGGGGTGAAGAGATGGTTTTAGTCCATCAAGGGGGTGAAGAGATGGTTATCTTGACGTCTTTATAGACTTAGAATACTCTTTCTGCTCACCAGGGCGTTCACACACCTCTCCAATGTCATCCCTGACTTCACTGACAACAACTTGATTAACATCATCCGCTACGGCCAGGACTACTACGCCTCCTCTGAGGTCAACTACATGAACCAGATCGATCCTGCTACTCTGGAAACCGTTGGCAGGGTAAGTCCATCTCCATCCTCAAAGCCAAAAGAGTTAATCGATACCTTATGAATATACAAACTCATCACTTCCACTTCCAAACTCCAGATTAACTACAGGAACCACATCGCCTTAAACCTTGCCACGGCCCACCCTCACTACGACGACGAGGGCAACACCTACAACATGGGGACCGCCATCATGGGCTTCGGTCGGCCAAAGTACGTCATCTTCAAGGTGCCAGCTGATGCTTCAGGTACATGGACACAGCCAAACCCTTCAGAAACACCAAAGAATGAAGAGCGCACCATCAGTGATAACACCAGCCAATTAAACGAGGCGCTTAGCCGACTACAGGGAGCCAATAAAGTGACTTCAAGTCTTTTACAGTGTAGTCTGTAATTGATTTATGATGCTGCTATCAGAATCATGCTGCGTCAAACTGACCTGATAACGGTAAAAGATTTGGCAGAACAACAAATTATATCCGTTATCTTTATCAGAGCTTATCATATTTACAGTATCTCAAGAAAAGGAGATAAAGGATTAGGAATAAACAATGCTTGTTAACATGCTCACAATGATCATGCTAACATGACGTGAAACAGGTTTTCTATAAGCATGTTCAGTATTAGCATATTTGCACTCTAATAACGAGCACTAAACAGAAAGTATAACTTTTGCTAATGAAAATGTCTTAATATTTGGAGGTAATTTGCCCTCTGCACCTTTAAGAAAAAGCTAAAGACCCAGCTCTTTCATGAATACCTACTAACTTAATGATGATGGTCTCCATATTATTGATGATGATGATGGTAATGACGATGGTTTTTGTTTGATAAGGACGACTTATAAGATGGTTTCTATACTGATTAGAGCTCTCAAGAACTGCCCTCAATGTTGTGCTTTGCCTCTGGTCACTTCCTGTCAGCACCTGTGTGTCCAATCAGACTCAAAGCTGATCGTTTGCTCTTACTCACACTGTTCCCTTTTTTCTAGATCCTTGCTTGTGTTGTTCTTACTCTCTGATGTACGTCGCTTTGGAGAAAAGAGTCTGCTAACTGAATTGTAGAATTGTAATTTGTTGTAAACTAAAGTATGGGATGAATAAAAATGTTGACCTAGGTGGCGCTAAGTGAAAAGTCTGAGGGATGTATCCACATTTTTACCAATTCTCATTGCAATTCTTCAAATAGCCTCTGAAATATTTTATTTGCCCAGTACGGAACTAAAAGGCGTCACAAAAATTTAATATCTGATGATAACAATGGAATCCATTTTTGTTTCAGATAAAGAGCAGAACAAGCCAGCGCTGAGGAAAGTCCAGCAGGTCGCTTCGATTCCGTTTCGTTCCACTCTCTTCCCCAGCTACTTCCACAGCTTCGGGATGACTGAAAACTACATCGTGTTCGTGGAGCAGCCCTTCAAACTGGACATCCCGAGACTGGCCACCGCGTACTTCAGAGGGGTCAACTGGGGGAGCTGCCTCAAATACGACAAGAACGACACGGTACGTTCCCCTGCGCTCACTCTCGTGAGGAAAATGAGATCGATGCCGTGACGGTCGTTTCTCTCCTTCCCAGACCTTATTCCACGTCGTCAACAGAAAGACAGGAAAGGCCGTGTCCACTCGTTTCTATGGCGACGCCTTTGTGGTTTTCCACCACATCAACGCGTACGAAGACGACGGTCACGTTGTGTTTGACCTGATCACCTACAAGGACAGTAACCTGTACGACATGTTCTACATCCAGAACATGAGGCAGTCGGCCGAGAACTTCGTCGAGGCTAACAAGAAATTCAGCCCGCCAATCTGCAAGAGGTTCGTGCTGCCGCTCAACGTCCAGCAGGTAAGCGGGTTCAACCAACAGACTCCAACTTCCTTTATTTAAAACTCCATCTCAAGAGTTTTGGTCTATGTGGTTTTTCCAGGATTCTCCCAGAAGAACAAACTTGGTGACTCTGAAGGATACGACGGCTAAGGCAGTGGTTCAGGACAACGGCTCCGTCTACTGCCAGCCTGACACTCTGTTTGAAGGTGAATTATCTCCACTGAATGTTTGATTCAAACTGTGTTTACTCTTCCTGACCTGAAGTCTCTGAATCCTCCTCAGGTCTCGAGCTGCCCGGGATCAACTATAAGTTCAACACCAAGAGTTACAGATACTTCTACGGCTCCAGGGTGGAGTTTTCTCCTCATCCCAACAAGGTTAGAAACATCAGACATGATCTTTAAATCTGCTCCAGCTGTCATTGGTAGTGGAACATGAAGTGTAGAGGATCCTGCTGACTGCAGTGATGGTTCAAATGTACATCTAGCGCAAGCAGAGGAATTAAATCTTTGGTTTTCACAGATCGCCAAGTTTGACATCTTCACCAGGACATACACTCTGTGGCAGCAGGAGAACTGCTTCCCTTCAGAGCCTGTGTTTGTGGCGTCTCCTGGAGCCGTTGAGGAGGACGATGGTGAGCTCACTGCAACAACTTCATCGCTAAGTTTAGCCTCACAGCTCAGAGACAGGAACCCGTCCTGCTGTGAAGGATAACGTCCTCCCTGTTTTTTGTTCTCTTCTTGCAGGGGTGATTTTAACGTCCGTCATCTCTCCAGATCCAAAGATCTCTCCGTTCATGCTCGTGCTCAACGCCAAAACCATGGAGGAGATTGCCAGAGCCTCCATCCCCGCCAGCGTCCACATGGACCTGCACGGATATTTCATCCCCGGCTAAAAAAACCTTATGAGAAGAACTCAAATTACTCTCTAAAAGGAGCAGTGTAACTTTGTATCTTTTAAAATGGGTACCACAGTCCAAATTGAAAACATCATCGAGAGCTGTCTCCCCCCCCCCCCTCCTCTCTAGAGTCGATGCTCATGCAGGTCACCATGTGGTGGACTCTGAAGCTTCAGTGTTTATCCAGCTCTGCATGGGTCAGTTGGGGTGTCTTAAAAGCGCCTACCTTCTCTGGTCCAAACAAATCCAGAGCATTCAGGAGCAGAATCTAAAGTTAGAAGGAGGACATACTGGCTGCTGCATTGTTGTCAGAGAAGCCAGCACTTCAACATAACATGTTTCCTTAATGATCAGAGAGTAAGATACCTTTATCATCTCACTCTCTACACATCTTATTGGACCTTTCAAGTTTTCTATTTGTATGCACTTACAGACTTATTTAAATAAGTTTTTGTTGAAATCTTCCTCCTTGATCCCAAAGATTGAATCTGACGCCACATAAAAAACCCATTTTGTCTGTTGTTAATAAAAAATGTTATTTATGAAGCACTTTTCATGTTTTTTGTCAAGAATCAGTCAGCTTTTTAATAATTAATTAAACACTGCCAGCTCTGGGACTCCAGCGCCCCCTGCAGGAACAGATGGGTGGTAACACTCAGGCTTCATAACATTATATTTACAGTTTGTTTCAAACTCTGTTCCTACATGAAGTGGCACGAGGGGAACGCAGACACCTCACCCAGAAGTGGGAGACCGGTGCACCTCTCTGGAGCCAGACCTCGGGGGAGCCAGACCTCGGGGGGAGCCAGACCTCGGGGGGAGCCAGACCTCGGGGGAGCCAGACCTCGGGGGGAGCCTGGTGGCTGGGTTTTCCTCCATGGGGCCCAGTCGGGTTCAACCTTGAACCTGGAACCGCGACCCGGCCCTGGATAAGCAGAAGATAATGAATTCACCCATTCAACTTTCATTTTGCAAAAAAGATCCATAAGAACCATCAGTAGAAGTCGGTATAGAGATCCATCAAACCTGATATTCATTCAGTTAAAGTTGTTGAAATTTCATGAATTAGTTGATTACAGTATTCTGCAAGTTATGTTTAAAGCTAATCAGAAAACGTTGCCAAAAAACATCCAAAACAGATTTGAAAAAAGGGAAAGCCGTTATAATTTAAAAGGAACAGAGATCTTTAATAAACCGAGATTCAGAACCAAATTGAGGGAACGATGTTTTACTGTGAAAGGAATCTCAACAGAGAAACTAAAGAATCAAAATCAAACATGATATTTAAAAGAAAAATTAAAGCCAGTTAGTTGAATAAATATGTGGAAATATGTCAGTGAGATACTGTTTTGTTTCGTGATACTATAATAAAAATGTATTGTGATATACTTTGTGCATAATGAATTGGTAAGGAGGACTAACAAGGGGGCTGCCAGTGGCTGTGTTTGCCTGCAGCCAATTTAATTTAATTTTAATTGTTTTTGAACGAAGTGTTTCGTTTTGTTTTAATTAATGTTTTGTGAAAGTGGGGCAGATATTATAAGATTAGTCTTCTTTCTGCTCCTCTTCATTCAAAATTTGAGATTTTCTGTTTGTTTGAATTAAATACATGTGTACAAATTATTATTATTTTTTAATCCTTTTTTGCTTTAAATGACTTGAAACACTCAATAATTAAAACACACAAACTCTCGTTGTTTCCGTGCTCACCATGGACGAACATATTGAGTAAAACTACAAAGGTTTTTGCTACAGATTTGATTTGTTTTGTGGTGATTTATAAATGCCTTTACCCATCATTAGTTTGGAAAGTTCAGGAAACTACGACAGACTCTGTGTTAATAATCCATTTCTGATCAGATGTTTATGGAGCTTATGAAGCCTCCAAAGATTGTCTTCTTTATATTTAACTAAAGCTTTCAAAAGTACATCTTCACTTTTCACAAATAGCAGCCAACACGAAGATTAAAGGCATTTATTTAGAGATATAAAGACGTTACAGCAGTCGTGTCCAAACTCCAAAATAGTCGTGTTAGAATCGTTCGCGGGCCACAGGTTTTGTTTTTTAAAATATAGTTTTAAAAATAGTAAAGCTTTGTAGATCAGAATCAAAAGGCTCGCTAAAGAAACCCTTTAATAAAAGAAATCAAATATTTAGATTTCTTTGTTCTACTTTATTTGTTTTCTTCTCAGATCCTGTAACGTGGTTCATGTTTTTAGAAAAGCTTTCTGCATTTAGCTCAGGTCATTAAATGGTTAAACAACAGTCTGCTTGTTTACAAAAACTTTGCATGTTTTTTTTCATAGTTTACAAAAAAATGTGGAAAATAGTAAAAGCTGTAGATTTAAAAAAACAACAACATGCATGTTACTGAACATTTTCTATTTCAGGAATATTGTTCAGCGCTTGTTAACATGAAAAAGAAAAAGAAGATAATGTGCCAATCTTAATCAAAATCTTCTGATTCTTCATTTGAAGTCACGGGCCGCAAAAAAATCCCCTCAAGGGCCGCAAATGGCCCTCGGGCCGCACTTTGGACACCCCTGCGTTAGACTCTGGGATGAACTTTAAGGTTGTGTTCAAGTGTTGTTCTTTATTTAAAACACGAGCTGAATTTAAGCTCACAACACGACTATACAGTGATTTAAAATAAGTTTTGAATCCACAAAGTCTCTAAACCCGAAAGAACAGACAAATAAAAACAAATAAAAACAAATAAAAACAAATAAAAACAAATAAAACAAATGAAAACAGAACTTACTGTGTCGGCTCTGTGGTGATAAACTCCGAGTCTCTGAGTCTCTTTCACGTTTTCTGTCCCGCTGAGGAGCTCAGAGTTTATTCAGTCACTATCCGGGAATAATTCTGATCCCGGATGATTTTATGTTTAAAGTTCAGGGAAACATTTTAATTTGTTGTTAGCTTACTCAGCTAATGTGAACGTTGCCATCTTTGTTTTTTGACCTGTTGATTAATCAGAAGCTGTACCTGAGATCACCTGACATGTAAGGGCCAATCAGAAGCCAAGGTCGGAATGAAGCTGACTTCAAAGCCTATTTTCAGAACAGAAATACAACTTTTTGAACTTTTAAATTAATTTGATGTTTTAACACATTTTTTGTAAAATATTTTGCACTAAATCATTTTTTTTCTGGAGTAGATAAAGTATAAATTAGGATTGTAAAACAATAAACAACTCATCATTAAATATTTCACCAAAAAGCATCCAAACAATGAATATCAAATTCACAGCAGCTGTGAAAATCTGTTTGTGTGGATTCTGGCGCCACCCAGTGGACGAGTAATGTAGTGCAGTTTTCTAATACGCTCCACGAGCAGAAACGTGCTCAAACTAGGATCAATATTGGAGATGCTTTTGAAAAATGGAGAGAGGTTAGAACACAGAAAGGTTTACAGACCCATGCAGAGCTGGATAAACACTGAAGCTTCAGAGTCCACCACATGGTGACCTGAGTGACAAACGTGTTAAAACCTTCAGGTGTTTAAAGACGACATCATCAGCCTGCAGGTTTCGTCAGAATCATGGGAATTTATTACATCAGCAGTTGCAGCAAAAACAGTTTAAAATCTTCCAGAGGTCACCTCCTCGTTTAAACCTCCACCCTGCGCCGTCCAACATGGCCGACAAACCGCAACGCTGAGTCAGCTCGTTAAAGTCTTTAAAGTCGACCTCATCGCCGGCGCCGTCTCAATGATTTGGTGGTTTTATGAAAAGAAAATATATTCCTCCTTCAGCTCTGTTTCTGTGCAGTACAATCCCACAATGCACCTGGTGTGACTGAATACCTGTCGACTTCGTTAAGCTCGTCAGTCTGGGGAGGAAAGGGGGCGGAGCCTGTGACGCAAATCAGCAGCCACAAATCAGAGAGCAGAGAAGAAGAAAGTAACACAACGTTGATGCAGAAGAACAGGCACGTTGGAATACTGAGTGTCCGTATGAGTGTGTGTGTGTGTGTGTGTGTGTGTGTGTATATGAGTGTGTTTGCGTCTGTGTGTGTGTGTGTGTGTGTGTGTGTGTGTGCTCTAAACTATCACTGTTTACAACAGTGGAAAAAACAGTTCGTTTCTCACAGAAAAACACATTTTTTTTTTAGGTTGATTTTTTTTCCATTTCATTTTCTTCCTCATGATGCTATCTGAGGGAAGAAGTGTGTGTGTGTGTGTGTGTGTGTGTGTGTGTGTGTGTGTAATCCGTTTGTGTGTTTCTGGTCCCTCAGATGATCTCGAAGGTCTTCTTCAGCTCCATGATGAGTTGCCAGTCAGGTTTGGACATCTCGTCTCTGAACCAGTTCTTCAGAGCGTCGATGGACGCCCGCGTGATCTGAAACACACAAACACACAGCATGAAGCTAAAGACAAAAACATCTCAATTAAAGCTGAAAGGTGACATATCCTCCTCCTCTTCTTCTTCAGTGTAACTAAGTGTCAGAGCTCCTCAAAACATGTGTGTGAAGTTTCTTGTTCTAAATCCACTCTGATCCTGTATTTGATCATGTCTATAAACCCCTCTATTTCAGCCCTGCTCAGAACAGACTGTTTCTGTGTCTGTACCTTTAAATATGTAAATGAGCTGTGTCTGACCACACCCCCTCTCTGGAAGGGCTTGGTTGTCTCAGGCTTTCTCGCTCCATGTCCTATTGTTTACGGTGAGAAGGCAGACTCAGAGGGCAGAACAAACACCTAGCTGTGGGAGTGTCACCCACCTGGGGGAGGGGCTACTGCCCTTTGTGATGTCATGAAGGGAAAATCTCCAAACGGCCTACACACTAACTAAATAAGTGGGAGGAGTCTTGCATGTCAGTATTTAGAACAGAGGCTGTTTCTCCTCATCTTCTGAAGTCTTCACTTCACCTGTGGGCGTGTCCTTTGGGCGTGTCCTTACCTTGGTGACGATGATGTCGGTGGCTTCAAAATGTCGGCCGTACATTTTGGGCGATTCTCCGGGAATGGGCTCGATCTTGATGCAGATCTCCTGGCCTTTTTTGGCGCTGTCGACGGATTTATGATTCATCTCGATGCTGGTGACGATGCCGATGTCCACGAACTGAAACAAAAACAAAAGAAAGTTAAAGGCTTACTGAGCAACTTTCAGATTTTAAAAAACGCTCTCTTTCGAGCTCACACACTTCCCCCGCCTTCCTCGCCATGTTTCACCAGATGGGACAGCTGCGATCAAGTCTCTCTCTTCCAACGCCACTCTGTTTTAACGCACCTACAAACAGCATCCCTGAGTGGGCGGGGCCAACACTCTTCCCCTACGTGGCAGCTTAGCGAACAGTTAGAGAGGGCGGAGTTCAGGTGAAAGAGGAAACATGTTTGAGCCTCTGAGAGAAACAAGCTGGAGGAAGCTCCGCCCCCTCAGTGTGACCACAGAGCTCAGAACAACAAACCCAGAAGGAGTCTGACGTCACTGTCTTTTTAAGAAGTCTCAGAGGGGAAACACAAACGGTGTGTTGTGATGGTGTCTCACCCCTTTACTGGGGACGCAGAGTGGCGTTCCTTGCCGCAGGACGCCGGCCTCGACCGACACGCCCATCACGATGGGATCTCTGGAGTTGAAGATGAACTGAGGAAGAACTCGCAGCTTGGCGGGGAACACGGCTATATGTCTGAAAACACAGAAGAAGAAACAGTTGAATTTTTTACCCACTTCCTGATAAAACGGACAGAAACGTGGCGTCCGCAGGAAGGTCACTCGTACTTATACTCGTCCTGTTTGGCCTTCTTGTAGTCCTCTCTGTATTTGGTGAATGCGTCGAACAGATGGTAGATGATCTCAGCCCAGAAGATCCGAACTCCCAGACTGTCGGCCATCTCCTGACTCTCTCTCTCCACCTTCACGTCAAACGCTAAAATCACTGCGTACCTGCAAACAAATTAAAAAACAAACACGTCGTTAACGAGCCTCAAAGAACTGAGGTCAAAGGTCAGAGGTCATTTAGATCTGAACGAGACGTACTGAGGGTCGTGTTCCAACATCGCAGACGCCTTCATGACGTCCTTCTTGTGAACCGGGCCGATGTTAATACCTGCGTACTGAAAAAAAAACCCCACAAAGACAGAGAGAGGTCAACCGTTGGTTTTTGCGCCTGCTTCCTGTTGATTTTCAAAATAAAAGTCCAAACAGGCACTCACAGGGACTTTAGATGTGCGGAGGAACTCGAGCAGAGCCTCCAGGGATCCCAGCGTGGACGCCTGGACGTAAACGCCTTTCTCCTCCAACTTGATGCAGCTCAGAGTCTGTTTGAGCTCTCGTATCAGTTCATCCTGAAAAACACATAAACCAGGACTGTCAGTCAACTGGGGGTCTCCAGAACCAGGACTGTCAGTCAACCGGGGGTCTCAAGAACCAGGACTGTCAGTCAACTGGGGGTCTCCAGAACCAGGACTGTCAGTCAACTGGGGGTCTCAAGAACCAGGACTGTCAGTCAACTGGGGGTCTCTTAAACCAGGACTGTCAGTCAACTGGGGGTCTCTTAAACCAGGACTGTCAGTCAACTGGGGGTCTCAAGAACCAGGACTGTCAGTCAACTGGGGGTCTCTTAAACCAGGACTGTCAGTCAACTGGGGGTCTCTTAAACCAGGACTGTCAGTCAACTGGGGGTCTCAAGAACCAGGACTGTCAGTCAACTGGGGGTCTCAAGAACCAGGACTGTCAGTCAACTGGGGGTCTCACACACACACTCTGTGTGTGTGTGTGTGTGTGTGTTACCCTCAGAACGGGGATCTCGTCATCCTGGTGGGCCACCAGCAGAGGGAGCCCCGCCAGCGTCTTCTCCAGGTCTTTCCCCAGAATCTTGACCCCCTGAGACGTCGACACCTCCTTGTGCTTCTCGTACTGACTCTGCAAACATCAACAGATTCTCGTCTTTGTTTTTGAACTTTACCGTTCAGAACATGTTTCAGATTGTTTGTTTGTTTGTTGTTTACCTTCACTCTGAGCTCCTTCAGAGGAGGAGGCAGCAGCAGACCTCTGATCTGCGTCACAATTGGTCCCTCCACCCCCGGGACGATGATGGTCTCTCCCTCCCGCAGGGTGCCGTTAATGAGGATGACGTCTATCGTGGTTCCCATCCCGGGGAGCGCTTTCACCTGGACGCACACACGACCGATCAGGTTTATCTACCCAGACTGAGGAGCGGGAATACAAACTACAAAACTAAAATCTTACCTCCATGACCTGAGCTCGCAGCTCGTCACAGTGTGCTAGCCGGCGTGCTAACATGGTCTGCGTGAGCTCGACCAATAGGGCGATGAGGTTTCCCATGCCGTCGCCGCTGTGGGCCGAGGTCGGAACCAACGAGACGAACGTCCGGGGGTCTTTGTTCTCGTAGAACAGGGCGGCGTTCAGACCCTGAGGAAGGATGAATGTTAAAACACGATTAGTGGGGTTCCTCAGGGCTCCATGCTGGATCCACTATTTTTTATTTATATTGATTAATAACATTTTAATAACATAATTAAGCTAACATGGGATAAACACGATTAGTGGGGTTCCTCAGGGCTCCACGCTGGATCCACTATTTTTTATTTATATTGATTAATAACGTTTTAATAACATAATTAAGTTAACATGGGATAAACACGATTAGTGGGGTTCCTCAGGGCTCAATGCTGGATCCACTATTTTTTATTTATATTGATTAATAACATCTATCAACATTTTGTATTTTATTTTTATTTTTTTAAATCTATTTTTTGTACATTCTTAATTTTTATATTTAAATTGTACTGTGTTCACTTTCTGTTTACAATCTTTGCTCTTGGCTGCTGTAACACTGTAAATTTCCCCATTGTGGGATAAATAAAGGATTATCTTATCTTATCATTCAGCTAACAAAGTTTTTCTTTGAAGATGATACAACATGAGAGAGAGCTGCTGTGATTGGTTAATAAGTGATGATGTAATGATGTACCTGCTGAGCGAACTCCACAATGACCGCCTTTGCTCTCTCGTCGAACTCGTCCTTGGTGTTCTTCTTCTGCTTCTTCAGCGTGGCCACGACGTCGGTCTCCGGACTCTTCTTCCAGTCATACAGACGGTCGATCTGACGACAGAAACATCAACACGGTCAGAAAACAAGAGAAGAAGAAGACGAAGACGTGCCCCGGGAGAGAGGAGGGACCGACCTTGTTGAGGGCAACGATAAAGGGACACTTCTTCTCCTTTAGCAGGTTGATGGACTCGATGGTCTGAGGCTCCAGACCGTGCATGATGTCGACCACCAGGATGGCGATGTCGCACAGAGAGCTGCCTCTGTTCCTCAGATTACTGAAGAAGAAGACGGCAGCTGAGGACCAGAATAAACCAACGACTGTATACAGGAAGTGGATGGAGCCATTCTGTGTGTGTGTGTGTGTGTGTGTGTGTGTGTGTGTGTGTGTGTGTGTGTGTGTGTGTGTGTGTGTGTGTGTGTGTGTGTGTGTGTGTGTGTGTGTGTGTGTGTGTGTGTGTGTGTGTGTGTTACCTGAAGGACTCGTGACCTGGTGTGTCGATGATCAGCATGCCGGGGATCCTCAGGTTTTCCTTTTCAAACTGCAAATCAGTATTTTGATTATTACGAGCAGTCCAACCCTCCAACATAAACACAATACATGTGTGTGTCTGAGCGTGTGTGTGTCTGAGCGTGTGTGTGTGTCTGAGCGTGTGTGTGGGTCTGAGTGTGTGTGTCTGAGCGTGTGTGTGTCTGAGCGTGCGTGTGTCTGAGTGTGTGTGGGTCTGTCATACATTTTTAACCATCTTCGTCTGATCCTCGATCGTCTCTTTGGGTACGTTTGTGGCTCCGATCTGCTGAGTGATTCCTCCAGCCTCACCGTCCTGAACATGAGTGTGTCTCAGCTACACAGAGACAGAGACAGAGACAGAGACACAGACACACACACACAAACACACACACACAGAGAGAGAGTCAGTTGGTAAGCTTTGTATAACAGATTTGATAAACATCAGTAAAGTTACCTTGTCGAGGATCTTTGTTTTTCCCGTGTCAACGTGTCCGAGCACACAGACCACCGGAGATCTCAGAGTGTCCACATCTGTGTTTTTTATGTTCTCTGCCCTGCGTTTCTATGGAAACACAAAGACGTTCAGTCAGAGACGGGAGAAAAAAAAGAGGTGAGCTCCCACTCCTCCCCTATTTCTGTAAACCTTCTCCTCGTTTGTCTCTCCCTCTCTCTCCCTGTAACGCCTCACAGGGCGGTCTACAGGGCGGTCTACAGAGGCCTTCCTACCTCTCTCTCTCTTCCTGCTTCCCTCCCTCCTTTATACTTCTTATCTCACTCCTCCTCTCTCACCTCCTCTTCCTCCTCCTCTCTCACCTCTAACCTCCTCCTCTCTCACCTCCTCCTCTCTCACCTCTAACCTCCTCCTCTCACCTCTATCCTCCTCCTCTCTCACCTCCTCCTCTCTCACCTCTAACCTCCTCCTCTCTCACCTCTAACCTCCTCCTCTCTCACCTCCTCCTCTCTCACCTCTAACCTCCTCCTCTCTCTCCTCTAACCTCCTCCTCTCTCACCTCTAACCTCCTCCTCTCTCACCTCTAACCTCCTCCTCTCTAACCTCCTCTTCCTCCTCCTCCTCCTCTCTCACCTCCTCCTCTCTCTCCTCCTCCTCTCTCACCTCTAACCTCCTCCTCTCTCCTCCTCCTCTTCCTCCTCCTCTCTCACCTCTAACCTCCTCCTCTCTCACCTCTAACCTCCTCCTCTCTAACCTCCTCTTCCTCTCTCACCTCTAACCTCCTCCTCTCTCCTCCTCCTCTCTCACCTCTAACCTCCTCCTCTCTCACCTCTAACCTCCTCCTCTCTCTCCTCCTCCTCTTCCTCCTCCTCTCTCACCTCTATCCTCCTCCTCCTCTCTACCTCCTCTTCCTCCTCCTCTCTCACCTCTAACCTCCTCCTCTCTCTCCTCCTCCTCTCTCACCTCTAACCTCCTCCTCTCTCTCCTCCTCCTCTCTCACCTCTAACCTCCTCCTCTCTCTCCTCCTCCTCTCTCACCTCTAACCTCCTCCTCTCTCACCTCTAACCTCCTCCTCTCTCACCTCTCTTCCTCCATCACCTCCTCCTCTCCTACCTCTAGCCTCCTCCTCCGTCATCTCAATCCTCTTCCTCCTCCTCTAACCTCCTCCTCTCTCTCCTCCTCCTCTCTCACCTCTCTTCCTCCATCACCTCCATCCTCCTCCTCTCCTACCTCTAGCCTCCTCCTCTCCCACCTCCATCCTCCTCCTCCTCTGTCATCTCAATCCTCTTCCTCCTCCTCTTCGTCCTCCTCCTCCCTCACCTCTAACCTCGTCCTCCTCTCCTCCTCCTCTCCTCCTCCTCCTCCAACTCTTCCTCCTCTCCTCCTCCTCCAACTCTTCCTCCTCCTCCTCCAACTCTTCCTCCTCTCCTCCTCCTCCAACTCTTCCTCCTCTATCTTCCTCCTCCTCTTCCTCCCTCACCTCTAACCTCCTCTGTCATCTCAATCCTCTTCCTCCTCCTCTTCCTCCTCTCCTCCTCCTCTCACCTCTATCTTCCTCCTCCAACTCTTCCTCCTTTATCCTCTTCCTCCTCCTCCTCTCTCACCTCTATCTTCCTCCTCCAACTCTTCCTCCTCCTCCTCCTCTCTCACCTCTATCTTCCTCCTCTATACTCTTCCTCCTCCTCTCTCACCTCTATCTTCCTCCTCCTCCTCTTCCTCCTCCTCTCTCACCTCTATCCTCCTCTTCGCTCTGTCGTAAAGCCGCTCCTCCTTCGTCCTGTCGTCGTCGCTCTCGCTGCTCTCGTCCTCGCTCTCCTTCGCCGGCCTCCTCTTGGTCTGACTCACAGCCGCCGTCGCCTCCTTCTTCACCTCTTTCTCCGCCTCCTCTTCGCTCTCCTCCTCATCGTCATCCTCTTCGTCCTCATCCTCTTCCTCGTCTTCTTCCTCCTCCTCGTCCTCCTCACTGCCTGCAGGCTGAGCGGGAGCGCTCTTCTTCTCCTCCTTCACCTCGATGTGGACTTTCTTCAACTCTGACACCAACAAACGTTTTCAATCTGATTAAATCCTGAAAGACGTATTTATCTGAAATATCAGAAAACCTGCAAGAAACACTGACTGACCTTTCTCTTCATCAGTGGCAATGGCCTCCCAGTCGTCCACCGCAGCTTCTGGCTTCACCTCTGCAAGAAGGAGGAGGAGGAGGAGGAGGAGGAGGAGGAGAAGAAGGATGAGGAGAAGGAGGAGGAAGAGAAGGAGGAGGAGGAGAAGGAGGAAGAGGAGAAGAAGAAGGAGGAGGAAGAGGAGGAGGAGGAGGAAGGGAGGAGGAGGAAGAGGAAGAGGAAGAGGAAGAGGAAGAGGAGAAGGAGGAAGAGGAAGAGGAGAAGGAGGAAGAGGAAGAGGAGAAGAAGAAGGAGGAGGAGGAGGAGGAAGAGGAGGAGGAGGAGGAAGGGAGGAGGAGGAAGGGAGGAGGAGGAGGAGGAGGAGAAGAAGAAGAAGGAGTAGGAGGAGGAGGAGAAGGATGAGGAAGAGGAAGAGGAGAAGGAGGAAGAGGAGGAGAAGAAGAAGAAGGAGGAGGAGGAGGAGGAAGAGGAGGAGGAGGAAGAGAAGGAGGAGGAGGAAGAGGAGGAAGAGGAGGAGAAGAAGAAGGAGGAGGAAGAGGAGGAGAAGAAGAAGAAGGAGGAGGAAGAGGAGGAGGAGGAAGAGAAGGAGGAGGAGGAGGAGAAGAAGGAGGAGGAAGAGGAGGAGAAGGATGAGGAGGAGGAAGAGGAGAAGGAGGAAGAGGAGGAGAAGAAGAAGAAGGAGGAGGAGGAGGAGGAAGAGGAGGAGGAGGAAGAGAAGGAGGAGGAGGAAGAGGAGGAAGAGGAGGAGAAGAAGAAGGAGGAGGAAGAGGAGGAGAAGAAGAAGAAGGAGGAGGAAGAGGAGGAGGAGGAAGAGAAGGAGGAGGAGGAGGAGAAGAAGGAGGAGGAAGAGGAGGAGAAGGATGAGGAGGAGGAAGAGGAGAAGGAGGAAGAGGAGGAGAAGAAGAAGAAGGAGGAGGAGGAGGAGGAAGAGGAGGAGGAGGAGGAAGGGAGGAGGAGGAAGGGAGGAGGAGGAGGAGGAGGAGAAGAAGAAGAAGGAGTAGGAGGAGGAGGAGAAGGATGAGGAAGAGGAAGAGGAGAAGGAGGAAGAGGAGGAGAAGAAGAAGAGGAGGAGGAGGAGGAGGAAGAGGAGGAGGAGGAAGAGAAGGAGGAGGAGGAAGAGGAGGAAGAGGAGAAGAAGAAGGAGGAGGAAGAGGAGGAGAAGAAGAAGAAGGAGGAGGAAGAGGAGGAGGAAGAGAAGGAGGAGGAGGAGGAGAAGAAGGAGGAGGAAGAGGAGGAGAAGGATGAGGAAGAGGAAGAGGAGAAGGAGGAAGAGGAGGAGAAGAAGAAGAAGGAGGAGGAGGAGGAGGAAGAGGAGGAGGAGGAGGAAGGGAGGAGGAGGAAGGAGGAGGAGGAGGAGGAGAAGAAGAAGAAGGAGTAGGAGGAGGAGGAGAAGGATGAGGAAGAGGAAGAGGAGAAGGAGGAAGAGGAGGAGAAGAAGAAGAAGGAGGAGGAGGAGGAGGAAGAGGAGGAGGAGGAAGAGAAGGAGGAGGAGAAGAGGAGGAAGAGGAGGAGAAGAAGAAGGAGGAGAAGAGGAGGAGAAGAAGAAGAAGGAGGAGGAAGAGGAGGGAGGAAGAGAAGGAGGAGAGGAGGAGAAGAAGGAGGAAGAGGAGGAGAAGGATGAGGAGGAGGAGGAGGAGGAGGAAGAGGAAGAGGAGAAGGAGGAAGAGGAGAAGAAGGAGGAGGAAGGGAGGAGGAGGAGGAGGAGAAGAAGAAGAAGGAGTAGGAGGAGGAGGAGAAGGAGAAGAAAAAGGAGGAGGAGAAGAAGAAGGAAGAGGAGAAGGAGGAGGAGGAGGAAGAGGAGAAGAAGAAGGAGGAGGAGGAGGAAGAGGAGAAGAAGAAGGAGGAGGAGGAGGAAGAGGAGAAGAAGAAGGAGGAGGAGAAGAAGAAGTCGTCTTTATCACGGCGATCATCTTCAAACATTAAACCGTCTCCTGTGCTCTCCTCCGTCGACTCACCTGGCTCTGCAGCCGGCTTCTCGGCCTCCGTCTCCATGGCAACGGGCTCTGGAGTCTCGGGCACGGGTGAAGTCACCTCTGAAGTTTCTACGACGTAGAAGAAAGAGGAACAAAAGGTGAGAAGAATTTGTAGTTTTGTTTTTCATTTATTTTTGGGACAGAGTGGCGCCTCCTGTCGGCGGCGTTCGGTACCTTCAGGTGTTTGAGCGTTCGGCTTCTTCTTCCTGCGGTCGTAAAACGGTTTCTTCTTTGGCATCGAGTCTTTGGATGGCACTTCAATACCTGCAGAACAGACACAGAGAACACAGATAATACAGAGAACACAGAGAACACAGATAATACAGAGAACACAGAGAACACAGAGAAGACAGAGAACACAGATAATACAGAGGACACAGAGGACACAGATAATACAGAGAACACAGATAACACAGATAATACAGAGAACACAGAGAACACAGAGAAGACAGAGAACACAGATAATACAGAGAACACAGAGAACACAGATAATACAGAGAACACAGAGAACACAGAGAAGACAGATAATACAGAGAACACAGAGAACACAGAGAACACAGAGAACACAGAACACAGAGAACACAGATAACACAGAGAACACAGAGAACACAGAGAACACAGAGAACACAGAACACAGAGGACACAGAGAACACAGAACACAGAGAACACAGAGAACACAGAGAACACAGAACACAGAGAACACAGAGAACACAGAGAATACAGAGAACACAGAGAACAGAGAACACAGAGAACACAGAGAACACAGAGAACACAGAGAACACAGAGAACACAGATAATACAGAGGACACAGAGAACACAGAACACAGAGGACACAGAGAACACAGAACACAGAGAACACAGAGAACACAGAACACAGAGAACACAGAACACAGAGAACACAGAGAACACAGAACACAGAGAACACAGAGAAGACAGAGAACACAGAGAACACAGAGAAGACAGAGAACACAGAGAACACAGAGAAGACAGAGAACACAGAGAACACAGAGAACACAGATAATACAGAGGACACAGAGAATACAGAGAACACAGAACACAGAGAACACAGAGAACACAGAGAAGACAGAGAACACAGAGAACACAGAGAACACAGAGAAGACAGAGAACACAGAGAACACAGAGAACACAGAGAACACAGAGAAGACAGAGAACACAGAGAACACAGAGAACACAGAGAAGACAGAGAACACAGAGAACAGAGAACACAGATAATACAGAGGACACAGAGAATACAGAGAACACAGAGAAGACAGAAGACAGAGAACACAGAGAAGACAGATAATACAGAGAACACAGAGAACACAGAGAACAGAGAACACACAGAACACAGAGAAGACAGAAGACAGAGAAGACAGAAGACAGAGAACACAGAGAAGACAGAGAACACAGAGAACACAGAGAACACACAGAGAAGACAGAGAACACAGAGAACAGAGAAGACAGAGAACACAGATAATACAGAGAACAGAGAACACAGAACAGAGAACACAGAGAAGACAGAGAAGACAGAGAACACAGAGAACACAGAGAACAGAGAACACAGAGAAGACAGATTCTCACCCTGAGCCTGCAGCAGCTTCAGCGTGGCCTCGGCCCGAGCTCGAGCCTCCTTCTGAGCTTTAGTCAGCAGCTTCCCCTCCTTCTTCAGACGCTCCTTCCTCTCCTTCTCCTTCTGCTTCTTCTTCTCTTTACGCTCCTGCTCCAGACGCTCCTGAGGGGGGGGGGGGTTAGATCAGAGAGGGGACAGATGGATAAAAAGAGAAACTCTAAAAAGTGGAGGAGGTGTTTACCTGCTCCAGCCTCAGCTTCTCCTCCTCCTCCAGCCTCAGCAGACGCTCCTCCTCCTCCCTCTTGGCTTGCTCCTCCTCCTAAAAAAAACAAACAACAACAAAACAACTTTTACAACATCGTCTCCCATCATACCTCCACTGTGACTACGTTTCCCAGCATGCCGCTCACCTCCTTCATCTTGGCCAGGGCCTCCTGCATGGCCTTCACTGTGGCCTTGCTTGGTCCCTTCTTCTTCTCCTTCTCCTTCTCCTCCTTCTCTCCTTTCTTCTTCTTCTTGTCTTTCTTCTTCTTGTCGCCCTCGCCCTCCTCTGCACAAAAACACAGAAGAAGAAGAAGAAAGGGTGAAACATCACAGCTGAGCGTGACCTCACAGTATGGTCGTTTCTGTCATCTTACCCTCGGCTGCTGGCTCCGCCCCTTCCTGTTCCTCAGTGGCTGCTGCAGGTGGAGCGACCACCTGAGGGGGCTCGGCCTCTTTCTTCACCTCGACGCTCGCCTCCTTCTCCTTCAGCTTCTTCTGCTTCGCCCTCTCCTCCTCCTTCTTCTTCTTGTCCCGCTCCTTCTTCTCCGCCTTCTTCTGCGCCGCCGTCTTCATCTTGGCGCCTCCTCCTCCTCCTACCTCCTCCTCGTCCTGCTCCTCATCGTCCTCGCTCTCCACCTTGGCTGCTTTGCCTTTGTTCTTCTTCTTGTCTCTCCTGGAGGTGAGCTCCTCCTCGTCCTCTGACTCCTCCTCCTTCTCTCCTCCTTGGCCTCCTTTCCTCACGCCTTCGTCCTCGTCCTCCTCCTCCTCCTCCGACACAGACGCTTTTTTGCCTCCTTTCTTGTTTCCTTTGGCCTTGGTTCGAGTCCGGGATCCGCTCTCATCATCGGAGTCTGAGGGCGGCGCAGCAGGAGGCGCAGCAGGAGGCGCAGCAGGAGGCGCAGCAGGAGGCGTCTGGAGCCAGAAGGAGAAAAGGTTATGATACAGTACGGAGGCTCAGAGGGGACAAATGTGCTGAATGTTTGACTTCTCACCGTCTTGCTGTCGTTCTGCTCTTCGTTCCTCTCTCCTTCAACCTGACCTTCACCTTCATCACCCTCCTCGTCCTCGGGGCTGGCTCCGCCCTTCTTCCCCTTCCTGGTCTTCTTCTTCTCTTTGGGAGGCTCGTAGCTCTCCACTTCTTCTGTGGTGTCTGTTTTCTGCAGAGGAAGAGAAAAGCTTTGGTTGGAGCAGAA